TTGCAACCAGTCCTTTTACTTATGAGTTGTGGTGGCGCATTGGTTAGAATGAAGTACTGCAGCCTACTTCTGCTCACTGTCGGGTGCCTGAAATTTGGCAGATCGAATCTCACCAGGCTCAAGGTTGACTCAGCCTTCCCTCCTTCAGAGGTGGGTAAAATGAGGACCCAGATGGTTGAGGGGGCCATATGCTGACTCCGTAAACTGCTTAGGAAAGTCTATAAAACGCCGTGAAGCGGTATGTATGTATGTATGTACGTATGTATGTATGTATGTATGTACGTATGTATGTACGTATGTATGTATGTATGTATGTATGCATGTATGTATTTTAGGAAATTTATATTGCTGTCTATTCACACATGGTGACTCAAGATGGCTTACATGAATATAAAAACCTCATATATAAAACAATAAAACTAATATAAAATAATAAAATTGTACCTCCCTAGGGGATGGGACCTGCAACATTCATTTCCTCCCCGCTCTGGTTGGGTTGGGTACAAATGACTGGCAAGGGACAGTCCTCAGATAACCTGGTCCCAAGACAGACCTAAGTCTAAGTGCTGTTGCTATTGCTGTTATGACCACCGCAGTGTTTCCATGGCCATGTGATCAAAATTGAGAAGCTGGGCAACTGGCATGTACTTATGACCTTTGCAGTGTCCCAGAGTCACCCGTTTGCCAGTTTGTGACTTTCCCATCTGGCTTCTGACAAGCAAAGTCAATGGGTGGGAGGGAAACCAGATTGGCTTAACAACTCTATGTTTCACTTAATGACCGCAGCAAAAAAGAAAAAGTCATGAAATTTAGGCGACTCGTTGAAAAACTGCTTTGCTCATTGGTGGAAGTTCCCATCCCAATTGTTGTTGTAAGTCAAGGACTACCAGTATGTATAAGAACTAAATATTTAAGAAGAACAGAATGTTATGATGGAGCTGGGACACTTTGCACATATTTGATTTAGTTTATAGTATCTTATTTCTGCAATTGAGATAAAAGTTAAATCTTTGCAATAGTGGCAAATATCTGTAGTTTGGGTGTAGGATGAGGGTAAAAGTTCATTCTCCGAGCTTGTGGGTTGGTTACTTAAGATGTTACTTAGCCACTGGAGATGTTATTTAGCCTAGTAATGAAACGTGTGGACACCAATCCACAAGCTCAGAGAATGAATCTTTACCCTCATAGTCAATCTATTGCCAATACAAAACAGTCCGGTATGGTCTTTACAGATTATGATCCACAAACATCAAAGAAGTAAGTCCATTCCTTACTATTCTGGGTCAGAATAGTATTTTTATACAATTTATACAATTTTTTTTTTCTTTTGCTTATCTGCCTGACAGCTTTGGTGAGCTTGGTGTTTGCTGTATTGTGTGTGCATACAAGCACAAACCTACAGTGTTTCTTTCAGCATCAAGGGGCGGTATCAGAGGAGTCAGGGCGATAATCCAGGTTGTGTTTAGCTTTGCATTAGGCTGGGTTTTAGCTTATATTTCGAGCGACACTCGCTTGTCAAATTTCTATCGCAGACATTCTTCTCATTTCGCCCCAACAGCCATCCTTCTCTCCTTCCTGTCCTTCGTAAAAATATTTAGCTTTCCAGATGTTCTTTTTACGAAGATCCTGTAATTTAACAATAAAAGGTTCAGGAGGAGTTGGATGCAGAGAGTTATAATTAGGCAATGAAAAAAATTGATCCAAGTGACACTGGGATGACCCAGCTGTGGTCTGGCTGAAAGAAGGGAACTTTACTAGGGAAAAATAATCCATGCATCTGCTTCAACCGAGTTGCTTAGTTACTGTATGAAACTCAACATTTTATACAAAGGTGGAGAACCTAAAGATGCATTCTTTCTTTTTTTTTTTCAGGTGGCAACTGGATTTTCTTGTTTTATTTTTTCCTTTTGAAGACATTTCGCTTCTCATCCAAGAAGCTTCTTCAGTTCTGACAGGAAAGTGGGGGAATGGAAGGATTTGTATTCCTTGCAGACAGCTGGTCATTTGCATCCTTTTAGAGGGTCGTTGAAGCACTTGGAGGTTTATCTGTGTCCTCGGAGTCTCCTGGGTAGTTCCAGTTGCCTCCTGAAAATGCACTTTGGGGAAAACCATGACCTGGATGACTGAGAATCTCTACAGACTTTTATCTATGCAGTTTGGGATGAACACTCTTGGAACGGTGTGGAAAAAAAGAATGGATTTCCAGAGGAAAAAAATTGCAGCTTACAGGAACCAGGAGCACTACTCAGGTGACCCTGAGGACACAGATAAACCTCCAAGTGCTTCAATGACCTTCTAAAAAGATGCAAATGACCAGCTGTCTGCAAGGAATAGAAATCCTTCTGTTCCCCACCATCCAGTCAGAGCTGAAGAAGCTTCTTGGATGAGAAGCGAAACATCTTCAAAGAAAAAACAAGAAAGTCCAGTTGCCTCCTAAAAAAACAACAACACCTTTGGGACAACCATGACCTGGTTGACTGAGAATATCTACAAAGGTGGAGAACCATCTTTAGATCATAGTGTGCAACAATTTTGTGGTTGCAATTACCATTGATTTGAGAACTGAGACCTATTGGTGGAGCCGTAGGTCTCTTCTACAAGCCACAACAACATACAGTATGCCACCCCTAGTTCCTTCTTTTCTCTAGACTAGCCAAACCTAGTTCCTGCAACCATTCTTCATATAGTTTGGTCTCCAGGCCTTTAATCATCCTAGCTGCTCTTCTCTGAAATTTTTCCAAAGTCCCAACATCTTTTTTAGTATTGTGGTAACCAAAAGTGGATGCAGTATTCCTGGCGTGGCCTTACTAAGAATTTATCAATCTATCAATCTATCGATCTATCGATCTATCGATCTATCAATCTATCGATCTATCGATCTATCAATCTATCGATCTATCAATCTATCAATCTATCAATAAATAAATAGTTGTTGTTGTTAGTTGTGAAGTGGTGTCCAACCCATCGCGACCCCATGGACAACGTTCCTCCAGGCCTTCCTATCCTCTACCATCTTCTGGAGTCCATTCAAGCTTTCGTTTACTGCTTCAAGTGACTCCATCCATCCCCCTCCTTCTCTGCCGTCCCCTTCTTCTTCTTTTGCCCTCAATCGTTCCCAGCATTAGGCTCTTCTCCAGGGAGTCCTTCCTTCTCATTCGGTGGCCAAAGTCTTTGAGTTTCATCTTCAGAATCTGGCCTTCTAAAGAGCAGCCAGGGTTTTATTTATTTAAATAAATAAGGATATATAAATCCCTGGTATGCCGATGGTGTCAGCATAAGTGACTGTGAGTGATCTATTATCCGAAACCAAATTTCCTTTAAAATCAGCAAGATAGTTTAGACATCTTTGGCTTACATTGGATCCAAAACAAAAGATGTCTGCCTTTTCTTTTTTCTTTTTTAAGAGTATAAGTAGTCATTTTCAGATTTGAGTCTGGAGCTAGACAAATAACTTCCACTCTGTTGGAACTGGCAACTCAGACTGCAGAAAATTGATGTATAATTATTGTTTAAACTGTTTTTCTTAAATTCCTGTCCCTGGAAAGGCTCCACTTCTGTTGTTGTTTTTATGGCAAAAACAGAAAACAAAACCGCGGAGAGTCTGTAAAACCCCTCTTCTGTTTTTGTTTTTAAATCCAACTATTAAAGTGTTGGCTTTTGAAAAACAAATATGCAGTGAGAAATAAAACCAAGGGGGTTGTTCAATTTTAAGTACATTCCGGGGAAGACAGTAGATTGGATCTGATGTTAACCATGATTTAGTTTGTTTGAAATCATGCCTACAGCAGGAGGAAGCAGCCTTTTTTTGAAATGTTCTACCAAACCTGAAGTCAAAGAGATTGGATGGGCAGTTCTTCTAAACCAAGGGTCTTCGAACTTGGCAAGTTTAAGACTTGTGGACTTCAACTCCCCTCATGGTTATTTCCTGAGTTAACATGACTGGGAGGAGGAATTCTGGGAGTTGAACTCCATAGGTCTTAACGCTGTCAAGTTTGAAGACCCCTGTTCTAAACTACTTCTAGCAGAATGAGAAAGTCTCTTAACCATTTCTCAAAGGCAGGAGAAGTTCCATATCTTGGTAGACCAGATTGCAGATGGTCCTTGACTTATGACCACAATGGAGCTCAGAATTTCTATTGCTAAACAAGACAATTGTTAAGTGAATTTTGCCCCATGTTATGACCTTTCTTGCTACAGATGTTAAGTGAATCACTGCAATTGTTAAGTGAGTAACACAGTTATTAAACGAATGTGGCTTCCTCCTTAGCTTTGCTTATGAGGTCACAAAAGGCAATTCACATGATCGCGGGACACTGCAACCGTCATAAACATGAGTCAGTTGCCGAGTGTTTGAATTTTGATCACATGACCATGGGGATGCTGCAACGGTCATTAGTGTGAAAAACGTCACTTTCTTCAGTGCCATTGTAACTTCAAATGATCACTAAATGAATGGTTTATAAGTTGAGGACTGTCTGTCTTGAAATACCTCTATGTGGGCAGAATTTGAGGAGTGGTGCGGTGGCCCAGAGGTGGAGTTCTCGCCCCACAATCAGGAGGCTGTGAGCTTGATCCTAGGAAGAGGCAGATTCTTCTCTCTCTGGGCACACTGAGAATATATCTACCGAATAAAACTCCGCATTGGCAACAGGAAGGGCATCCGGCCATTAAAACACTCTGTTATCTCCATCTAGTTTCCCAGACTCCATCCCGCAAGGGATTATACGGGTCATTAAATGAAAAGGATTGAATAAAAGGATGAGAACTCAGGGAGGTTACAGACCATTAAAGAGATTAATTAATTATAACTATAGTTATAACCTTCAGTAGAACATTCACACATATTTCTTGACAACAGAATCCTATGATTTTACTTAGTTGTGACTCACGTGTCCCACTGATTATGTGGGTCCTCTGATCCATTATTTCATGTTGTATTCCAACACATATAAATTACGGTTCTCAAGACTTCTGTTGAATTTCTGTGTTTTGGTTTTTAGTGACCTTGGACAAATGGCAACGTTTGGACAGGACCTCCACTATTCTTGATCCTTCCATTTCTAAATATGATGTCATCCAGATCAGCAGGGATCCTTCCAGTGAGTTTGCTGCCATCCGAGATTTTTGTCTCTCAGGTAAGATGGCCTGTTTTTCAAAATGATGGTCCTTCCTTCCTTCCTTCCTTCCTTCCTTCCTTCCTTCC